CGAGCACAACTTAGTCCACACAATATTATTGAGCCTAGGACTTTAGATACTATATTAGTCAAGCTAATCCCTCTGTGATTATCACAGGAAGACTTGTCTCCCTTCTTGTATATGGGGATAATCAGTGACTTACACCAACCCGACGGGACTTCCTCTGATTCCCAGACGCTGCCTAGTACCTCAGTTAACGCAGACAGTAAACTGTCTCCACCGTACTTAAATACCTCTGGAGTCATTCCATCAGGTCCTGCTGCTTTGTCTTGTTTCAGACTAGTGACAGCTTTAGTAACCTCAGTTAAGGACGCGGGACCTGTGTCCATATCCCATTCAGGGAGGTGTTGGATGTTCGGCAGGTTAAGCGTGGCTGTAGGCCAATTAAACTGCTCCTCATAGTGTTCCTTCCAACGTTCCAGTCGTCTATCATGGGAGCTAATTATGGTGCCATTTTTCTCAGAGATTGTTTCAATTATCATTTACCTTCTACCACCTGTTTCCCTGATTGATAAGCCTAAATAGCTGTCTGGTGTTACCAATCGCCGATGCCTTCTCCATCTCTTTCGCTTTTGTCGCCCACCACTGTTCACGGTCGTTGCGAAGACTTCTTATTAGTCTGCGCTTAAGCAGTTTTCGCCGCCTCCCACCCCACCCCATCATATTCGGACCTCGTCGGAATCAGTCTGCTTGCCTCAATCACTTCGGATTAGGTAGTAGAAATCCACTGGCTCATTTCTATTAATAATTCACTCTATATGCATTTTATAGATCAAATGTTTTCCTGATGTAAAAATTGAATATTTACAAGGTGTAAAACTTCATAAGTGATGTTCACGTCAACTCTATCTTTTGTAATGATCACTTAAGTTATGTACATCATTATTTAATCTACAGTGTTACTTTTCAATACTTCAGCTAAAACGGGTTATCTGATTTTCAAAATGATGTGCCTCTTAACCATAAATCTTACTTGCCCAGTGATTATTTACCATGTATGAATGAATACCTGCTAATCATTAGTTTGTGTTCACAACTATCAGCCAATCCGTCTCGAGTTTCATTGCTGCTCCACTTGCATCAGCCCGGATAACTGGTTAGAATCATCAGTCTTCACACAATAAATACGACTCGCAACATGGTACATGAGAAATCTCAGTTATTACTAATTTCACTTCTTTCTTTTACGTTTTTATCCTTCACGTTCCACAGTGGAACATAGGGCTTCAAGCCACTAGCTTGAAGTTTCTGTAGCAGTGTTTATTTTACAGGATGGGGTTGCTAACCTCATGCCCAACCTTTCCGCTTCACCAACATTATTTCTGGTTTAGCGAGGCAAAGGAGTGCGTCGGCCGGGGTTCGCACTTCGGACCATGTGCATGGTCGGCGAGCGTCTTAACCGCTATTCCACCGACGCCTGTTTCTTTTATTAGTTCATGTATTCCTTCCTAAGAGCCTGGTTCATTCAACGGCATCTGTCGTGTAACAGAAAAATCGGTTGGAGAAATACTGAAACCCAAATCATATAACCCTTAAGTTTCCGTGTATTTCGCAACCCTCAAATCACATGGTATCCAAAACATTTTTCCAATAAAAATCACAGTCCCCAAATTTTAAACGATTGACCTACCGTTGTTCTCCTAGTTCAATTTCATATTGTAAATTTCTTTCAGAAATTTACTGAGAATGAGTTCATCTGATGAAAGCATTACTTATTGATACCTGGTTTCCGGTACTTCTTACCCAGCGTTCGCTAACCAAACGTGTCACCGAACGCTTACCAGCATGGTTTTACAAAACAGGAAAACGATGCCCCCGGAGTTCTATCTTGGAATATCTGATAGATTCCGGACACCAAGCTACACCCCAAACAAACTTCAAAGTCATCTATAGAATACGAAGCAGTCTTCCTAAAAGTGTACGAGTCAGACTTCTTCAAACTGCAGAAGCAATGGCAATTCACTTGCTAAGTCCTGAACTCTGCGATGGACATATTCTGTCTTAATAAACCCGATAGGTAAATTCTCTTTCTTTGTCTCTTCATTAGAATTATTTTGTCTTTACAACTGTAATACTTTACATTTTCGACTTTCCTGTTCTCTAGCCCCACCCGATTTAATTCCCACATTTCATTACCACTATTACTGACTTGACCAACGCTTAATTCCTAGACATTTGTGTTACGTCATTCAATTTATTTGCTCAATTTTAGTCTTAATTTAAATGGCATTATTCTCTACCCCACCTCTACTCAGTCTCTACCTGTAATTACCTCTGTTGCTATCTGATTAACTTTGTTTCTATATTACATCATTCTTGTATTGCCTAATTAATTATCTCAACTTGACAAACCTCATGTACACACACACACACAATAATCATATATAAATGCGATTGTACAGCTATGTGAATGAATTCGCCGAAATGAGTCTCTCCGCTGAACGTATTCTACATTTCTTAATTCGCTTAAAGTCTTCATAGTTTATTATTCAATAATGGAGTTTGAAATGATATCTTCTAACTATCTGTCTTTGTAACTTCCGCCATTTTAATAATCACTTTTGTCATCCTTCTGAAAAACTCAACAGGTAACTGGATATGCGAATGTTTTCAGTGAACGTGTAGAATCCCAGATAATCTCTCATGACAAAGATATCGACGATAGAACCTTTAGTCGTGCTGAAGATGATAGAGATGCTTTTGCTAAGTTTTTGTTCTCTCATATTTCACATTATTAGGCCAATTTATTTCGGGAATTGAAAACCCTATAAAACATGTCTACTATTGTGTGGATTTTAGTTGTGCATCGCATAGATCCACCTTCTGTGTAAATTGTTGTACACCACTTTTAATTCTTAAGTTGGTTTACCCATTTAATCCTTTTTGTCGGTTTGATCTTTGTACACCACGTGTTGGGAAGTCGCTACGTTAAAAACTTGATATTTCAGGCAGGTGGTTTACGTATCATTTCATAAAAACATAGATAGCATTACTTTTATTTTGCGTACGGCCTTCATACTACTGAAATGATTTTAAACAAACAATAAATATTAAGTCCCAAGTTGTCAAACTACTAACAAGAATAGTTTATTTTTGACGGTTTATATTCCTTTAAAGGTCAAAAGTAGCTATTATTTTCTCCGTAACACAGGAAGCTTAGGTCACCAGCAGGTAGTTAGCAATTAGGAAACTCAGAAAAGTGAAACGGTAACCAGATTGGAACTAGAACCTTATGATTTGCAAGGGTCTCTTCATCTGTTGAATGGGTGCCTCTCTGTTTGAATAAGTTACCCCACCTCACTTAGCCACTATCGTGCGTTGAAATCATTACACTGTTTTCCGCATCTGGTCGGCAATTATTTTGATAGAAAAGTTTGTTATGGATAAAATCTTATCCATAATGGAGTGGTACTCTACCATAGTGCCCAAGTTTCATACTTAGAAAAGGCTGTTACTAAATTTATTCCATGGGTTGATCGTGTAACTCAGAAACTATTAGTTCTACCGCTACTTTCAATCATTTTTTAAAACTCTGTCTCAACCTTCTATTCCTTCAAACTCTTCTATAAGATATCATTTTCTCTTCTATCTATATGCTCATTAGAGATCTTTCACTTAATCCCTAAGTTCATTACGCAACACCGTCAATCGTATTCAACCGCTCTTATAAACTGAATAATGCGAACCACTTCGGTTATGACGAGACGAAAGATGTCAACGAGTACAGTTGCACGCACTTGTTCTTTATGACCAGAGGATTGTCAGAAAGTCAGACTAGAACCACCATTTGGTCCTCCCAAATACAAGGTATATTTCGAGATCAGAAACATACACCAGCGACCTCTGCTTACTTAACCAGACAGAACACACAAACACGGCACAACAGATTGCCTAAGTGGCACAGATGCTCTAGCTGTGTGCCTTCGGCTTAACCATGCTATCGTATATGAAAAGAAAGTGGAAATGCTGAAGAGACTCATCACTGAACAGCTTATTTTGTTTTCCATAAAGTAGGTAGAAATATCACAAGGGACTGTCATTTTAATTTGAACTGGTGTTTTCCATGTAGTGAAACACATCATTAGCAAACACAGATATCACTGCTAATATTAGCACTCTGTCAAACAGCTGTCGTCGTGGTCATCATATTTCATGTGCACTGGTTAGCTTAAATCAAAGTTACCTATTTATTTATTTCTGTGGCTAGCATATAATTAAATTGGTGTCCTATCTCCTTGAATTCATGTATCAATAGGAAATTCTCCTCCTAACTTCTTGTTTTCTGTTCAAGCACTTTCTATGAGCTGTTCAAAATGCAGCGATCGCACTTATATGTTGGTGCGCGCCATTTGTCTTTGGCAGTGACTAGCCACCGAATTTCCGGGATGGGAATCCGAGTTCTTCATTCAGTTATTCTTATTTTTCTATTCCTTTACGTTCCCATTGGAACGTACGGCTTGAAGCTAGAGGCTTGAAGTTTCGGTAGCAGTGGTGTTTATTTATATGGGATGGGATTGCTAGCCTCATGACCAACCTATCCTCTTTACCAGCCTTATTACTGGCTTATCGAGGTAAAGGAGTGAGTCGACCGGAGATCAAACCCCGGACCATATCCGTGGTCGGTGAGTATTCTACCACTGTGCCACTGACGCACAGTTACTCTTATAGTAAGCAATTTCTGACCAACGCTCAAACAAATATCAGCTATATTGAACACCACTGTAGTGCCATCTACCTCCCAGGCCACCTGATCCACAGATTTCTAATCAAAATACTCAAAAATGAATGACTACACTCTTCACCATTGTGATCAAGGAGTATGCAACATCAATTTCACATTCAGTCAGGTGTCATTCTAACAGCCTAACGAGGCTTTCTAGCTAGATTCTGCATTCACTGATGCAGGTTCCAACTCTATTCAACTCTACCGATACAATATAACTATGAGAAATTACAAGTAGGCTGTATGATTGATGAAGTAAATCAAGCGGTCAATAAAGAGATATTGTATTTAGATCAAAAGATGAAAAGAAAGCAAGATATATACAAGGCAAGTAAGGCAATTATTAGTCATCATCACAGAGTGTACACAGTTCATGTAAATATAAAAAATATTATATACACAAGATAATTTATACTTCAGTATTTTTCATTGGAAACAGGACATATATTGAACTAAAACAGAAACTAAAGGATGAAAACAAAACACAAACAACAATAGGTTACCTTGACATTCACATTCACATGACATAATTAAAATGTGACAACTAGGCCGTTCAATATCACCATCAAAATAAACCTACTAAGGAATTATCCATCATCATTTATATATACAGTGAAGTATATTCATCACCATCGGAACTTTATGACTATTATCTATCTAATCGAAGCAATGAAGTTTGACTGATCTATCTTATTCATAAATGAAAGGGATATACATATGCATCAGTTTACAAACTGTGAAGTTGGCCTACATGCAGGAGAAGTCAAAATTCTGATAGACAAAAGAGTAATTAGAATGTAAACTAACAAAAGGAATGTCACCAATATTGTCTACCATTTATCATGAACACTGACACGCTTAAATAACTCTGTATTTAGTAAGGAAGAATACTCCTCCACTAGACACGTTTTCTGTGCACCGCGAAATAAAAGCTACTCTTGATAAGTGAAGTCTTATAAAACAATCTCTACTTAGAAATCAGTTATATATAACAGAATTATCATGTACCAGCTACACAATTATTGTGTGAGAACCGATGATACTACTCGTTTCCCTAGGTGGAGTGGGGTAGGGTGGGACTCAAAGCCGGGAACCCACTGGCCAAAAGTTGACTGACTAAGTTCAAGAGCCGCACTTCCAAATATTATTGGCACTTCCAGTATTCACACCACTTGCACAGTCTAGGCTCTTGAAGGCAGAAATTTAAATTTAATTTCCTATACGTTTCTATTAATGACTGATTGACTGGTTTCAACGAGGAATTCTTTACATATGTGCAGAACTTCCAGTTACCGCTCTCCCTGCATGTAGCACACAAAGGAAGAGAAGAGAGTAGAGAGAGACAGAGATTCAAAAGAGTAATAATAAACAGAAATATGAGGCAAAAAGGATATTGATATGGAAGAACAATACAATTTTATTGGATATCATTGATCACAAAGATTGAATGAATATGCGCCAGTCATTGATAACGATTTTCAGCAATATCACCAATTGTCTCCAGCCTTCATTGGTTTTTACCATCCTGATACCCAACAAGACTGACAGTTTACACCTCCCTACTTGACTGGCTTAAACTAACTGTTGTGGATTTCATTGATTGATCAAGCCATGGTTTGGTTTGACTACCACTAACTCATTTCCAATGTGATCCATCCTCTGTCAGCTGAGATTACTCATCGAGGAAGGCGACAGCTAAACACGAATAACAAATGTCCTAACCATCTCAATCGATGTAGCTCCAAAGCCTCGTCTATTAATTTCCTCTCCTTACCAAGCTCACCCTATTATACCGCTTCGCACGGGAGATTTATTTATTTATTTTATATTTATTTAAACGCAGAAAAACTTGGTACAATATGGCACCAAGAAAGATGCGCCACACAATAATAACAAAACAACATAGATTAAAAGTAAAAATATAGGTAGAAAACGAATAAAGAACTTCATCAGGAAGGAAAACAGTCATGTTTAACAAGTTCAAACAGTATTCAATAACTATCATCAGGAAGGGAGGAAAGAAGGAAATTGCAACACGTTCGCCATTGATTACGATTCTTGGCCATATCCGATAACGTTTCGAGCCATCGATTCGAGCTATCTCGCGGACCCCAACCAGGGAGTCGTGACACACCAACCGATGCTAATCTAGCACAAATATCCTTCATCCCACGACGCCACGTCATGGACTGACCACCCCTCCGCCTTTTCCATCCCGTCTCAGGGCTGGCGAACAGAGACCTGTACGGAAGCCTCTGGGATGACATTTGCAGCACATGTCCAAGCCACCGGAGCTGGTGTTTCCAGATGACAACACTCAATGAATGGTGATCACTGTGTTCAAACACACGCCGCCGAACCTCAGAATTACTCAGGCGATGATGCCGTCGAACGCAAGCAATCCTGCGAAGACAGCGATGATCGAACACGCAGAGTCGCCGCACATCCTCAGCTCGGAGAGGCCAGGTTTCACAGGCGTAGAGCAAGGCAGCCCGCACCGAAGCATTGTGTACCCTACCTTTGACAGCCAGGCTAACATCGCGACGGCGCCAGAGGTGGCACAAGTTGATGTATGCCACTCTAGCTTTCATTATACGGTTGGAAATCTCATCCGTCACCCCTCCGCCAGCACTCACACAACTACCCAGGTACACAAACTTATCAACAACTTCAAGCGGTTCACCCGCAAGAGTGAGTGCAGGTAAAGGCTCCTGCCAACCTTGTAACAGTACTTTGCACTTAGACGGTGCAAAGCACATACCATACTTACAGACACTGATCGCCAACTGATTAAGTGCGATTTGGGCAGCCTGCATGCTATCGCACAGTAAGACGATATCGTCTGCATACTCGAGGTCGAAAAGTCTATCTCCAGGTAGCAGATCTACACCACTTTCACGCACATCCTTCAGAGCTGACTCCAGAATGTCATCGATGGCAAAGTTAAAGAGAAATGGAGAGATTGTGCAACCCTGTCTAACCCCACTGTTGGTTGGGAACAGTGATGATAGTTGGTTGTATGCCCTCACTCTACCTGAGGTGTTTCTATATAGGGCTTTCAAGATGTTAACAAATTTCTCAGATACACCTCTCTCTCTAACAGACAGTTCCAGAGCACAGTTCTGTCCAACGAATCGAAGGCAGCCCTAATATCAAGAAACACAACGATCATTGGCCTGCAATACGTGTGGCGGTGTTCCAACAACTGACGAAGGGTGAACACATGATCAATGCATCCACGACCTGAACGAAACCCAGCCTGCTCTTCGCGAATCAATCCTTCACGCATTTTGCACAGCCTGCGAAGCAAGACAGAAGCCAATAATTTAGACGGCACTGGTAGCAGACTGATACCCCTATGATTGTCACACGAATTACGTCGACCCTTTTTAAGGATAGGGACGATGATGGCTTCGTTCCACATTGATGGTAAACTCTCAGTTTCCCATACCTTCCTGAACAACCCAGTTAGAGCCATTGTAAGAGTTTCGCCACCATCTTTAAAAAGAGCCGGGGGTAAATTGTCTGAGCCGGGCGCCTTGTGGCGTTTTAACACTTGGAGTCCCTTACGGACCTCCGCTTCGGTGAATGTGTCGGTATTAACCGACCAAGGAGCACTAGGGTTAATGACAGGAGACATTGAAGCTGGTGGCCAGCTAAACTGTTTCCCGAAGTGCTCTGCCCAGCGTTCCAGGCGTCTTTTCAAACTGGTAACTGGCGTGCCATCTGCCTCACAGACTGTCTCGCTGACACCTTGTTTCTTGCTGCCGGTGGCTCGGATGAGTTGGAACAGCTTCCGACTGTTGACAGATGCAGCAGCAGATAGAACACAGGCACCTATGAATAAAGATAGCTACCCAGGGTTTTCATGTCTTCCACCTTCGATGGCCAGTTCTCACAGTCATGAAGGAGGATGTAGTGGACTGCTGAGCAGTACATACACCCTTTGGTCGACAGCCGGATATCACGTCTACGCCAGAGATGGCGTAAGTTGGTATATGTCAAACAAGCCTTCTGCATCGAGCTAAGATTTCATCAGCGATCAACCCAGTGCTGTAGGATGATACAACTTCCCAATTAAGTGAAGTGGTCAATATTCCCCACCAACAGTTTCACTCACTCCCTATCTTAAAGCCAGGAGTCAATGTAGTCCAGTCCTGTAGCATCATCCTGCATCTGACACGATCGAATGGCATACCGAACATTCGAAGATTGCTGTTCCTCAAGGTGTTCAGATTATTCTGCATTTTGTCAGAGTCCTCGCCTAGAAGGACTATATCGTCTGCATATTCTAAGTCAACAAGATTATTCCATGGTAGCAAGTCAATCCCTGAGTCTCTGAAGTGAGTTAAGGTTGAGTCCATTAGTACATCTATGATGAAATTGAATAGAAATGGGGATAGTGGGTATCCCTGACGGACACCACTAGTTGTCACCACTGCAGATGACAAATCTCCTTTAACTTTTACGTGGCTGCATGAGTTCGAGTAGACTGCTTTGATCAGTTCAATGTATTTTCTCGGCATTCCGTCTACAGCCAAGCATCGTCAGAGTACGTCTCGGTAGACGGAATCAAATGCCGCTTTCAGGTCAAGAAATATGACGATTATTGGACTCCGGTAAGTATACCTATGTTCTGGAATATGTCAAAGGGTGAAGATATGATCAATACACCCTCTTCCTGGTCTAAAGCCTGCCTGGTTCTCTCGTGTTTGTGCCTCCCGAGCACAACTTAGTCCACACAATATTATTGAGCCTAGGACTTTAGATACTATATTAGTCAAGCTAATCCCTCTGTGATTATCACAGGAAGACTTGTCTCCCTTCTTGTATATGGGGATAATCAGTGACTTACACCAACCCGACGGGACTTCCTCTGATTCCCAGACGCTGCCTAGTACCTCAGTTAACGCAGACAGTAAACTGTCTCCACCGTACTTAAATACCTCTGGAGTCATTCCATCAGGTCCTGCTGCTTTGTCTTGTTTCAGACTAGTGACAGCTTTAGTAACCTCAGTTAAGGACGCGGGACCTGTGTCCATATCCCATTCAGGGAGGTGTTGGATGTTCGGCAGGTTAAGCGTGGCTGTAGGCCAATTAAACTGCTCCTCATAGTGTTCCTTCCAACGTTCCAGTCGTCTATCATGGGAGCTAATTATGGTGCCATTTTTCTCAGAGATTGTTTCAATTATCATTTACCTTCTACCACCTGTTTCCCTGATTGATAAGCCTAAATAGTTGTCTGGTGTTACCAATCGCCGATGCCTTCTCCATCTCTTTCGCTTTTGTCGCCCACCACTGTTCACGGTCGTTGCGAAGACTTCTTGTTAGTTTTCGTTTGAGTACCTTTCGCTCCTGCATTATTATGTATTATATTATATGTACATATTATTATGTATGTATGTATATGTATATAAGTATGTACAGTTGATAGTTGTTTCTTATCAGGGACAGTCTACGTCAG